AAAAAAAGTTCCACGAAAATATAAAAAGACTATTCTTTTTCTTTTGCTCCTTAGAAGTAGGGTCTGGCCTGGTATCCCCAGGCTGGCTGAGAACTCATGATCCTTCCGTCTCAGCCTCCTACTCTCCAGACTAGTAAAATGAGTCTCAAGCAGGTGGGATACTGAGTGGAAACTGCCAGTAACAGCAATTGCGCTCTTTAACAGGGCAATAGGAACAGAGTGGAAGAAAGGAGTCATTATGACGGTGTAACAGAAGTCAGACCAATTGTACTTGTGAGTAGACTGACTGGCACTAAGATCACAGAAGGAGATCAATGAAGCAACTAATTAAAATTGATATCTACCAGAAGGATGAGTTTGTGAAGAAAAATGAAAAACTATTATCGTCACTACTAGTACAAACAATAGCCATACCTTCCTAGTACTGCTCTGTTAACAGTAGTACTCTGAATGCTCATGTATGACAGGTGCTGTCCTAAGTGCTTTTCATGCATTATTTGGTAATCTTTCATTCAACTCTCCAAACAGCTTTATTATTATCATTATTATCTTAGATGGGTTAATGTTCTGATTAGTTTTAACTGTCAGGTTGACACAATCTAGACTCACCTGAGAAGCATCTCAGTGAGGGATTGTCTAGATCTGACTAGCTTGTGGGCACGTCTTTTGGGGATTGTCTAGATTACACTAATTAAGGTGGCAAGACCAAGTCCATTGTGAGGACCATTCCTTGGGTTTGGGTCCTGTACTTTTTGCATGTACAGAGCACAAGAAGGCATGCATTCACTCTCTGCTCTTGGCTGTGGACGTAACTATGACCACCTTCTTCAAGTTCCTAACCTGACTTCCCACAATGATAGACTGTAACCTGGATTTATAATCCAAACAAACCTTTTCCCCTTAAGGTGATTTTTTTGTTGGAGAATTTTATCACAGAAGCCGAAATATAACTAAAACAGTTAAGCAGTTGCCTATTCCTCTTAGGAGGTCCCTGAGACCACTTCAGAGTGTCCAGATTTGCAAGGTCTAAACTATTTTTATAGCAATACTAAAAAATGTTAACTTTTCTGGGTAGAGTTTTCCACTATTGGTTCAAAAGTAATTGTAGAGAAAAGCAGTAATCAAGGGAGTGGTACCAAACTACCAGGAAAAGGTGAGGAGTCAAGTTCACTTAAGTAGGTCTTTGTAAAGCTATGGAAATTGCCAAATTTATTAAACTATACTTTTGAAAATACATCTTTTGCCAGGCATGGTGGTGCACGCCTGTAGTCCCAGCACTTGGGAGGCAGGGGCAGGCAGATCTCTGCGAGTTCAAGGCCAGCCTGGTCTACATAGTGAGTTCCAGGACAGCTGGGGCTACAGGGAGACCCTGTCTCAAAAAGACAAAAAAAAAATTCTTTTTGTGACAAATTGAGGCATAAGACTCCTTCTGCATGTCATAGCTGCTATGATGCCTCACGGAGAAGCACCCATGAGCTTGCTTGAGTTACAAGATAAACTAGCTGCTTATTTCAGGGAAAACTGTGTGAAAGTGGAAGAAAACCCAACAAACTACATTTATTTATGCTTAGGACTTAGGCAAACATTCTTCTCAAGAATAAGCAGAGTGAGCCTGTTGCTTCAAGGAAAACTGCTGGTATCATTTTTTGCAAGTAATAAAATTTAAACTTTGATATAAAATTGTAATGTAAGAAACTTGTATCTGTTGTGAGCTCAGCAGCTCCCTAGTTCTTAAAGAACTTGTGATTAGATTGATGGTTGTGTTGACAATTTTTTTAAATAAATAATTTATTGAGAATTTCATGCATGCATAGAAGGTGTTTTGATCAAATCCATGCCCACTCCCTCCCCTCCAACTCCTCCCATATCTCCCCATCACTTTTTTCTGATAACTTCATATATTCTTTCTTCTTCTTTGATTTATTTTTGCTACTCTAAAATTCCCCCCTCTGAAGAGGTAACCCTAAAATCTTTTAAGGATTAGATAAAAGCTCCCAAATAGTTTCGACATTTTTGGCCTTTGGAACAGAGTATGTTGCTAAGAGGCCCAAAGACATTGTGAGTTTTAGCCAAGAAACTAGCTACTTTTCTTTGGTGTCTTTTTACCCTAACTGCCTAGCCAATCTCTACCTCCTAGTAAGTTCCTCATATAATAAAATAAAAAGTATCAGCAACTGAACAATCAGCAAACTCTGGTAAGACAATATTTCTAAGTGGCCTACAAAATCATGAACAGGTAAAATTTACATTCGAATTTTAAGACAGATAGACTTTAAGGTAACTACAAAAGAGGGGTATGATTTCAGACTACAAATTTTCATAAACCAGAAATTTCCAACTATCTCAAGTTTGGGTATCAAATCTAAAAATGTCCACCAATATATGAAACATTGTTAAAGTATTTTTTGCTTCTTCTTTCAACTGCATATCTGCATATCTGCATGAGACTAGGTTTTCTTCATTCAAAATAATATTTTATTATTATTATAATAATATTTTCACAGGTAAAATGAAGGGGTCAGTTTGAGAATCCATCTGTCTTCTAATAAAGCAATAAAGCAGACATTGGCTAGATGTCTAATTTTTTTTCTTTTGGAAAGGATATTTTCATAAAAATATAATGCACTAATATGATGTTTATTATTGTAAATTTCAAGTGAATTAATGAATGTATTTAAATTTCTGTTTTATGTCTAATTGAGTCTTTTGGAGACCTCCAGACATTTTCAAACTGTGAAGGTGTCCTGAGGTGAAAACTTTGGGAAGGGCCTGTTCAGGACACATAGCTTGTAAACCGTGAGAGCCAGTATGGAATCCCTCATCAATTGGACGCAAGTACTTTCACTTACCCAATTGGACCCAAGTACTTTCACTTACCCATTGTGCTGAGTTATTCCACATTCAGTTTCAGATCTGTCATATTTGAGGTACTTGATTTCCCAGAAGGCCACTTTGGTATATGGTCACTCAATAAAACCT